AGAACAGAACAGAACAGAACAGAACAGAACAGAACAGAACAGAACAGGATGAATGTCTCTCCCACCCACGGTCTAGAATACATTATCTGGGAATCTTAGTAATCTGGTAGGTTCCACCTCATTATTTACTTTTTTTATACCAGTTTCTCGCCTGATGGCAAAACAATAAATTTGCGTGGCAACTTTTGATTGTTTCCGGAAATTTTTATGTTGATGCCACGGTAACACGGGTCTGATAAGACCAAATGGAGTCAGTGATCCCGACTACAGTGTGATCCCGACTATAAAATAACATTTTATGACTATCAGATGTTCAATAGTAACATTATCAAAATGATTATGCATGACTGAAATTTTGTTTTGTTTGTTTTCATCTCCCTGGTTTGTTTTGGATGAAGAAAGGAGGTTGATAGGACGACTGGATATTCATTTGTTCGGCCGTTCGCCTGTTCGTTTTACTTTCCGTCCTTCCATCTGTTTAGTCTGCCAAATCGTGATTATTCGATTCGCTGTCCGTTCGAAAATAATTGCCATCTGCTGACCAAACAACCGTAGATTGCCCGCAGCCATACAAAATACTGCAGTGTTATCGATAAACATAAAAAACATCATTAAAAACTGGATATTCAGATATGCTTTCGACGCTTTGCACCATCACTTGATGGCAGCCGTGACAGGACGCACAAGTCTTTTTTTCCCGCAGGAAACTGAAATCTGTCTCACGTAAATCGGATTAGGTTAGATTCAGTTGTCCCCCTCACTAGTCATAGTGGCTGCCATGAAGTGATGGTGCAAAGCCTCTATACCAAATGTTTTACACCATGCTTTATCATATGTTTTACCATGTTTTATTGTACCGTGTTTACTATGCTTTAATGTTACCATTTTAGTATGCTCTACAGCTTTTACCGATAGAGAGCCATTAAACTGATGATGAACGATGGATATCGTCCGAAATATCTTTTTTTTAAAACTTCTAGTCATTCTTTTCGTTTCTAAACTTTTGGCCAAAAGAAACATATTCAGCTTTTACCATGTTTTACTTTGCATGCCAGGAATATTTCCGCTTCTTCATTTTAGCCATTCCGAGGTTGAGAAAACACTTTGGCGACTTGGCATTGCAATGCATTGCTGGACTGTTTTGGGGACATATTTCCAAGATGGCGGCCCCTAAAACAGCCCCAAAATGCACTGCAATGCCAAATTGAYCCAGGCTCTTACTCAACCTCGAAATGACTAATCACTAAACAAACAACTAAAGCACATGAATATTCTTTATGAGTCCTACAGTACTTAGTATAATAAAGTCAAATTCAATCCATTGTGCTTGGAAACGAATTAAATTTTCAAACTTGAATTTCATTCTTTTGGCGAATCAAGAGTCCAGTGCTTCTTCTACTGCTGTGAAATACGCGACTACTTTTCTTTGACCCTCCATCCGATGGCGCAGAGTAGCTCGAGTTGATAGCAGAGTGAATCGGTGCCCTTCGAATAACTAGAAATCGCAGAATTTTCCGAAACGCTTCTTTGAATTTAGGATTGTGGAATGAATATAATGGAGGGTTTAGAGCARAGTTAAGGTAACCCATGACCAGGAGAAATGAATAGACTCCGGAAGGTATAGTTCCATAGCAACTTTTACAAAATAGTCCTACGACGCTGATCGTAGTGTATGGAATCCAACAGAAGAAGAAAGCGCAGACAATAATTAATATACTTTTGGCAGTTTTGATGCTGCGGTTTAGCTTCTTCCGTTGTCGTTTTATTGTCTTTATCTGGCAAATATCCGGAGATTTGTTAGCGTGCGTTAACAGTTTATTACCCCCTCCGTTGACGGACGAAGACGAGGGAGATGGAGCCCGAGTGGACGCTAAATGTATTTCCGAGTTTTCGCTTGCATTGCTGTGATTCCCTCTAAAAGATTGCCTCGTTTGTTCATCAAGGACGCTATTCATTTTGTTGGCAATGATATAAATGCGAAAGTAAATCACGCACATCACGAAGAGGGGTAGATAAAAGTTCATGCAAGAGTTAAGGGCAGAATACTCTATCGGTGTGTCGAAAATGCATTGGTTTTCGACATTCACCTGTTCTGGTGGGAGATTCCAGCCCATTTTTGGGATTAAAGCGAAGACAATCGAGTACGTCCACAGCCCTGCGACCACACACGAAGCACGCTTACGAGTCATGAAACGAGTTCGCCTGAACTTATTGAGCGGGTCACTTATAGCCTTGTATCTATCGATGCTGATGGCCAACAGACTCAAGATCGATGTTGGAACTGTAATCAAATAAACTGTTGTCCATAAGTTACAAATAAATGGACCATGGTCCCAACGCCAGTTCTTTAGGTACTGCTCAACATCAAAAGGCATTGAGAGAGTCGCTGTTAGAATATCTGAAACTGCGAGTGAAAAAATAAAATAGTTTGCAGCTGTTTTACGGAGTGGTTCGTTAACACAAATTGCCACGCACACCAATAGGTTACCAGTGACAGCAGCTATTATGATAATAATTTGAAGAGTAACGATGACTGGAACAAAATCTGGAGCTGACCATGAGTCCAAGCTATCCCAACCACTACCATTTGTTTGGTTCATGTTGAATAGGAAAGAAGAATTATGGTCGTTAGGTGGATTGAAAAAAACGTGTGAAAAAAACGTGTGAAACTGCCTCGAGTCAAACGAGGCTAATGTTTCAAAGTGACAAGAATAGAATCAGGTGATTTATTCCCGAAAGCAAGGAAACTCGGTCATAATTTTCTTTGCACTCAGAACTTTTTTGATCCTTTTTATTCTTGGCAGTGAAGAMAATTGGCAAAGTCTTGCTTCATCAAAAATACGATAATTTTTCTCCAGTGGTGAACTGCCAACGTGGAAGTGTTCTGAGATCTCATTCAAGAGCAAACAGAGTCTTCTGTTCTGATGCGGGAGTTTGTTCAGTTGTACAGTTCCGTGTCAGTGAAGGTACACAGTAGCCCGTGGAACTAAGTGTCTTGTTTTCAGGAAATCTTGAAGAAATAGAATAAGATAACGTCAATGATATTGACCTTGCAAAATACATACGTTGGAAAATCTATAAACTATGTGACTGTTTTTTTTTTGTCAATTGTGGGCGGTCAGACTGATCTTCAATCAGCCTTTTCTGGTGTTTTTTTGCATTTCAAAAATGTTGGCCTACTCTATCTCTTTATCTTTCGTTGCTCCAATAATCATGTCAATGTTAAGAGCTTTAGTGATTTTCTTGCATGCCCAGTTGTTCTGATGTTTGCGACTAACAGTCTTGATAAAGGACAAAAAAAAAAAAAACACTTCATTGAAGGTTTGCTCTTACCTTGGTTAGATTGTCGACTCCAGAGCAGATAAAAACACCCTTCAATTGCTCTTAAGTTACTTGCATTTCCTCCGAAAATAATGAGATTTAAAGAAGAATTTCCACTGCTCCTTTGATGGACGTTAGATGGTCTCCGTTGATAATAGGTTTTGACCTCATTCCTCTTCAAATTGTTCAATTAAAGATTTATTGCCAAGTCTTACCAGGTACAATAAATAAACCAGCCTACTTCACAAGCAGTTTCAAATGAGAATAAAAATGTCGTAAATCAATCATGTTCAGTATTCGCTATCTTTCTGTAAGTGAAGACACCTCCCTTTTGACGTATTCTCGGAAAGACATCAATAGCATCTGCAACCGTTGCCAGAGGCGTTGGAGAATATTCGCATCTTTTCTTGGCAAACATTTAAATGAGACAAAATGCGACATCCAAATCTTTTTTCATTGACACATTGAATAGTAATTATAAAGGAGTTACGGAGTGGTTTGACGGCTTAGTTAAAACAAAGAGGCTGTCTTTACACTTCAACTTTGGCTTTAATTTCGTCTTCTTTTCATTAAGAACTCCTTAATTGAAGTCTAAAAAAATGATTTCAAAACAAAACACATGCACAATACTTAAGTTCAAACATGACGAAAGAATAGAAGAGAGAAAAGATTTAATTGTATATGCAACATGCCTCAAAAAAGTAATATAATATGACTCTAAGTGTTTCACATATTCTTGAAAACATGATTTTTAATTACAATTATTTTCGAGCATAATGTTGTACAATGTTAAAAGCCTCGTTTATTAACTCTTTTGTACTCGAGGATAATTAAAGAAAACTGTTCAAATTTTGAACTTTTCGATCGATTCTTTTTTTAGACTTTATAATAAATAATTTCAAATACATAAAGGTGTTTTTTCATAGTAAATTTCCCGCCAAAGAAAGGTTTAAACCTTATTATGAAAATATTAGTTATTTTTACTTTTCTTTTTAGTTAGTAATTCTTAAAATTGATGTCCAAATATTTCAATTCTATATGAATTTAAAGTAAATTCAGTCAACAAGAAAGATTTAAGACCTATTTGGAAAGTGGAAAACAAATTGGTTATTTTTTTTTTTAATGTAGATTGTTTTAGCCACGGAAAGTAATTTTTGAAATTAGTAGGTGCTAAGATTTCAATTCCATACGGATTTTTCAGCAAATTCAGTTCTACCCAAGAAATATTTCCTTATTGAAGAGTGGGAAAATTGATAATTGGGTTCTCGACTGTGATTGGTTGTTGGGTGGGATTAGATTTGGCAGACAAACTTTATCTTCCTCTTTCATTTGGGTGTGTAAACACGAATTTTGATTCCAACAAAACACGAAGGCTTCAATGATATTCAAGTAAAGAGAACCAAATAGATTATATATATATCAGGTATGTTGTACCTAGATTATTAAAACGTATGATTAACAGCCCTTGGATTTTAATTTTATCTGATTCTCTTTTACCAGGCTTTTATTCATAACTATTTTCACTAATTAACGGTAAAATATATTATTTTGAAGGAGCAAAGCCAAAATGGTATCAAGTGATTTTAGGATTTTATTCATATGTTAGCTATAATTTTTTATCCATCATTGATTTCGATAAATTTTATTAAGCATACATTTTTCATTCATTTATTCATCCATTCGTTCGTTCATTCATTAATCCGAATTTATTCATTAGCTCATTCATTCATTCATTCGTTCGTTCGTTCGTTCGTTTATTTATCCTAATTCTTTTTCTTATTTGTTCATTTATTCATTCATTCACTCTCA